TTGTAATGAATCAGTCGCAGGTCTTACAAAAGTCCAGTGTCATTTCAATCACCAAGGCCATATTTTTCAACTACTGGTGATTCTCCTTTGTTTCCAACTTTTGCATTCTAATCAACAGTAATAATCAATACATCTTGATTGCATGTTTGGTCTATTTCAGACTGCAGAAGTTGGTAAATATCTTTAATTTCCTCATCTTTGGGTTTGGTGGTTTGTGGGTAAATCTGAGTAATTATAGTATTAACTGGTCCTCTTCGTAGGTGTATGAAGTATCCTATCACTGACAACACTGTACTTCAGGATAGATCTTGAAACATTCTGACAATGAATGCCACACCATTCCTCTTCAATTTGTCATTCCCAGCAGAGTAGATAATATGGTTGTCTGATTAAAGATGGCCAAAACTAATCCATTTCGGCTCACTAATGCCTAGGATACTGATCTTTATGGGCTCCATTTCATTTCTGACAACTTCTAACTTTCCTAGATTCACACTTCGTACATTCCATGTTCCAATTATTAATGTATGTTTGTAGTTGCTTCCTCTCATTTCGAGTTGTGCTTGCTACATTAGTAAATGGGCACCCTGAAAGCTTTACTCCATCCATGTCTATTCTGGTTACCTCTGTGCTGCTCTGACAAGAATATACCACAAATGAGATGGCTTGAAGAAACAGGAGTTTATTCTTACAATTTGGAGGTTTTAAGTCCAACTTCAAAGTGCCAAGCTCTAGGGGCTGTGTGAAAGCCCGTTGACCTTGGGCTTCAGCTTTGCCTCTTGCTCCCAGCCCACTGAAGCTAAAGGCATCTCTTCACTCAGGCAGCTATTGGCTGCTGAGGCTAACAAGCCCAAGGTCTACAAATAAAATGGCACATTATTTTTATTAACATTGGCACAGTCCCAGTGTTACCAAACAACATGGCAGGCCATTAATTCAAATCCACTGAAAGTCCTAAAGCCAGCAGAACGTGGCAGGCTGCTGAACAATGACATGGCTACATGCAGGGTTCAAGCGTGCCATAAGCCAGAGACCATTCCCTAAAGCTTCTCCTTATATACAGGAAGCAGACCACAGTCCTAAGACAGTTACTCAGCTGCTCACAACAGATTCCACCATGGAGCTGATTACCAGTCTCATCATGGGGAATACTACAACTAGCTGCCCAGCCACTCAACCAGGCTCAGCCAAGTTGACACACAAACATAACCACCACAGCATCATTAAGGTCGACTCTACTTTAAGGAGTCAGCTCCTCCCCAGTTGTATTTTGAGTGCCTTCTGACCTGAAGGACTCATCTTCCAGCACTATATCAGACAACGTTTCAAGGCTATTCTTTTCCAGTAATGTATCAGATAGTGTTTCACTGCTCTTCATAATGTTTTCACTGGGCAACTGTTTGAGGAGTGGACTGCCCCTTCCTTCTTCTGAGTGTGTCTTATGTATGTATATATAAAACAAAAACACCAAACTCACTGCCTTTGAGTCGATCACAACTCAGTGACCCCCTCCTTGGGTTTTTGAGGTGGTATCTCTAGGGAAGTAGACTGCCCAGTCTTCTGAGTACGTATATATGTATATACGTACATACATACATATGTGTATATATACATGCATGTATGTATATATATTTGTACATATGTATATGGAGCTCTAGCAGTGTAGTGCCTAAGGCATTTGACTGCTAACCAGAAGGTTGGAGGTTCATACTAATGTGTGTGTATGTATATACATATATATACATATATATAGGGAGCTCTGGTAGCATAGTGCCTAAGGCACTTGACTGCTAACCAGAAGGCTGGCGGTTCAAACCCACCAGCCACTCCTCGGAAGGAAGGTTGGGCAATCCTACTTCCATAGCGATACTGCCTCGGAAACCCAAGGAGGGGTCGCTATGAGTCGAGGCTGACTCGACGGCACATAACAACAACAACACATATATATAGGAGTTCTGGTAGTGTAGTACCTAAGGCACTTGACTGCTAACCAGAAGGCTGATGGTTCAAACCCACCAGGCACTCCTCGGAAGGAAGGCTGGTCAATCTAATTCTGTAGTGATACTACTTTGGAAACCCAAGGAGGGGTCTCTATGAGTTAGGTCTGACTCGACGGCACATAACAACAGAACTTAATGGTCAACACTTACCCTGTTATGGATAGATCTGTGTCCCCTCAAAATATGTGTCACCTAGGCTAGGCCATGATTCTCAGTATTATGTAATTATCCTCAATTTTCTGATCTGATGTAAATATTCTATCTGCTGTACATCCTCATTTCTATGATGTTAATAAGGTAAGACTAGAAGCAGAATACAATCTACATAATTAAGTTCTACCTTGAGTCAATCTCTTTTGAGATATAAAAGGGATTAAACAAGTATGCAGAAATCAGAGGGACTTACTACAACTAAGAAAGAAGAACTAGAATCAGAGAGCATCTTTTGGTCCCTGCACTGGGAACCTCCTAGACTTGGGGGAAAATTAATGTCAAAACATATGGAGACCTTCAAGTAATGTCAGGTTCATAGATGATGAAAGGAGACAAGGGCCTTCCTTCTAAACTGTGAGCCAACAAAGAGAGGAAACTTCCCCTGTGCTGGCACCCTGAATTCAGACTTCTAGCCTCTTAAACTCTGAGACAGTGAATTTCTGTTTGTTAAAACCATCCACTTTACAGTAGCACTAGATAATTAGGACAAACTCTAAAGCAAAGACGAGAAGAAAGGAAACAGGGAAACTAGATTGCTGGGAATGGAACAACCAGAATGGAATTAATGAAAAGGCTGACATTTTGTGAAAAATATAAGCAATGTCACTGAATAATTTATGTAGAAAATGTTAAATGGAAACCTAGTTTGTATGTAAACTCTCACCAAAACCACAATAAAATATTATTTAAAGGCGGGGGAAGGACACATACTTTGAAACCTGTCAGTGTGGCAGGAAACAGAATCCTTATATCCAGTAGAATAAGGGGAAAAATAGAGGAGAATGTTCTAGGCAAAATCCCTAAAAAACACAGAAAAGGGAAAGATAAAAGGGACTGGTTTTTAGGATGAATTAAGTCTGCAAATTAAAGGACCTGTGGCCTGGAAACCATCCAAGAGCCTACAAAAGCTTTTGCTTTCCTAGCACTGCAGTGCTAGCAAAGAAAACAATATCCCGCTCCTGTCTCCACACAGGAATGGGGAGGCCTCCCAACCTGCCTTTCTCATTCTGAGCCATGTGTTTCCCTGGGCTTCCAGTGCATAGTCTTCAGCTTAAGCAATTAACATGCCAGAAGAAACTAACTAAGGCTAATACACATGGGTATATTGGCAGATGGAATAAATCAAATGAGGAAAGTTCTGATTGACATTTTTACCTGAAAATAAAAGATCTACAAATAACAGTAATTTGAGAAGGTCGATCACATTTCTTGCTTTAAAAGAATCATGTTTACAAGAAGCTTTTTTTTTTTTTCCTCTATTTTTTAAAACGAAAAAAAAAAAAAAAAAAGGCTTTTTTTCTAGCACAAACACAGAAAAGGGTTCACTTCATTTTTTAAGAGAAAAAGATAGTCGTCCTCTGACTTGGGAAGGAACTAAACCTCTCATTTTGTGGCTTTTGGACTTATTCCAACACACCTGGTTTCAGCAACTATGGGGGAGACAGGAAGGAAGAGACATCCAAGATAAGATACTACAAATGAGCACTCATCAGGCTTGTTACAATGATCCCATTAAATAAAATATTTTGTGCAGGTAATTGATGAATTCACTTTTACAATGTACACTACAGCCTTTTCTATCAGTGCATAAAACAAATGTTCCATTTTTCTCCTTCTATTACACAAAATAGACATAGCTGATATATAGGAATTGTTTCTACATGTCAGGATCTGATTCATCTGCATACTCCAATCTTGAAGTATTTCCTCTATCTACTGTTAGCTGGGTTGGCTCCTACTCTTATCCCTAAATTGTATGTACCTGTGCAGTGCAGTAAATTACTTAGTGTGGCTTTTCTACCCATA